CCTACACGATTGCCTTAAACAGGCAAACCCCTGATCTGAAAATCTTGTCGAAGGCTGACTACTTCATGCTGAGTAGGACAAGCCTTCAGGTACTTCAGGTTGAAAGGAAAGGCCGTAAGGACTGAAAGCACAACCCCAGTGGTCACGGTGACTCATTCCTTCTGTAACTGATTGAGGTACTTACTGAACCTCAAGACTCCATCCTATAAAACTCGATGAGGAGGGATCTGCTCTGGATTATTTTAAACATTTTTTCTTATGTAGTCCAGACTTTCAAATCAAATGTGGACTGACTGAAACCCTTCCCAGTGGGGAGACATCCCAGTAGACGAGAACACACCATACAACTGGGATTCCTATTTATAAATCACTTAAATTTGGGGTGTCTGGTGTGTGTGTGTGTGTGTGTGTGTGTGTGTGACCCTCAAGTGTACTTTGCTCTTCAATTAGACGTTAAGCGTTTCTAGAAATAGTGACAAAAGTTAAGATCTTTTCTTCTTTACAATTCTGCTCAAAACACCACGTGCCGCCTCCGAGCTTCTGCTAGTCACATGAGCCTCGGTCCTCCATGGCACACTTTGCCGTGTTGCTGCCTCAGCCCTGTGATGCCTCTCACCTGCGCCCCGAGAGACACCTCTTCCACCTGCAGCGCGGTCATCGGACCGCCCAGCCCGGCTCCACCCCCCGCGTCGCCTCTGAGTGAACAGGGGTGCAGGCTTGGTTCCTCCTCAGCCCTAAACCCCCTCAGACCCAGCCTCCACGAACTGCGGATGCCCTCAAAGCATGTCACTGTCCGTGATACATTTTTATTCTATGGACCTCTAACCCATTTGTGTCATGTTGACCTTTTGCTGCATGAGTCATAAAATATGAAACTGGTCTCATGGTTTTTGAAACGTAGCCAGCATTTGTAAGGCTAAACCTTTTTCGTAAACTGAATTGAAGTGAATAACCAGGCCACAGTTCCTCTTCAAAAGGAGAACGCTTACAGACATTTGAATCTCGTTGTCCTTTCCAATGGCTACGGCATCAAGGTTCTAAAATAAGCTCGTAATTTTTCCTGTTATTTTAATAATATGGAAATATTAGCATAGTGTTTCTTTTGATAGGGACAGACTATAATCCATATTTAAATTTTATAGAGAAGAAATTTTATTGTACTGTGATGTAGATATTTATTATCCAGGTAAGGACTTGCCCGGTGTGTATTTTTTACAATTGAAACATTTTACTTTAATCTTTAAAAGAAAAATAAAAAGTTTAAACACACACACACACACACACACACACACACACACATACACACACACAGACTAAGGGAAAAAAAGGTTTGGCCTTATCACAGAAGTTTTACTGTGCTGTACAAATGTTTGCAAATGCAAAAAGTGTGCATTTCTAGTGTGTTTCTACATTCATTAATGCCGCCTTCAAGAGCAATATCGTGCAGATAAAATGCTGTTTGTGGCTTTCTGTTGCACAGTTAAAGCTGACCCACCTTATGCACAAGACAATCAGATTTAACTCTGTCCTCCTCAGGATGCAGATGATACCCATGTACGTTACGGAGCACAATGCAAGACAAAGGAAGACACTTTGATTACATGTGTATTGCTGACATAGAAGATATCAGGGCATGCATGAGTTGACATTATGCCACTCCTTTCTTTTAGTTCTTCCTAATTGGCGGTTTTCATTTGATTATAGAGCCAAATTAGTTATGAAGCCTTTCTTCAGAGAAAACACCTTTGTTCCCCCATCATATTTTCATGTCCTGAGAATCAGAAAAATTCAACAGAATAGGAAAAGATTTACAGTCATCGGAAGATGTGTTTTGCAAACGGTGTTAAGTGATATTGCTAGATCGGTAATATTTTTTTCAGCCTAAAACTCTATTGAAATCTGTGATCAAAATGTTTTAAACTATCCAAAACGAAAATTTGTATATTTGGGAAAAATGGATTTTTACATAGCTTTTGTATGCAGATATTAAATTGTAATTATGACTATAGCGGGCGTAGATAAACTCATAAGCTACAGTTCTAAAAAAGAAAAAAAAGAAAAAGCTTATAACGGATATAATTTCCTGTCTCTTTCTTTAAATATTATTATTTTCTACATAAGCACGGGGTTGCCTACTCTTCTCATCTCGATGCTTCCAAAGGAAGGAAAACAGGGATGTAAGGGCATTTGTTTCATAAACATCCACTAGAATCAGCAAGTTTTCTTGGGAGGAGGGCATGGGGGGATGGAGGGAAGTAAAAGGCTAATGGGAGATATCCTCTTCGGAAGGGGCCACAGAAATGGGGTGAGGAGGGAAGAGTGAAGTTTTTGCAGCTAAAGGAGTACGTTCATCATTTCATCTCAAAATGTTCTAGGATATTATTAATGGAATTATACTACCATCAGCTATCAATATATGTCTCAATCCCCAATTCTCTGAACACATGTGAGTTAGGACTCTTGCTGTGATTGAGTGGCGAAAAAAAGCGCCTAATGGGAATATATTGTCCATAATATCTGGAAAGTCCAGGAGTGAGATGGCTTCAGGCGTGGCTGGATCTGGGCACTTAGTACGTCAGG